GTAGCTAATCATCTTCTTATTCCTAAATGTCAATCAAAGATCATCAGAATATTTATTGTACGAGTTCATCTAATGTCTTGTGAAGGGTGAAGAATAGAAAAACACAAGAAATGGGGGTTTGAATTGGGGTTTTTAAAACCTAAAGTAAAAACACGTTGGTTATCCTAGTTCGTTTGAACTCAAACTACACCAGTCCTCCCGCCAAGGTGATTTTGCCTCTCTTAACGAGGTCTTAATCCACTAACCAAACTTGATTACACAGTTTACTATGACAACCGTAAAAGTATTCTTGAGTTTAAACCACAACCCGATGTTCTCAAGGTATTACACAATACAATATTTGAAAGAGTGTATAATATGTGTTTTCTAATAAAACAGTATCACACAAGTGATGTTTTACACAAGTGAAATTCAATACGTTAAAAGTGATGAAAAAATATCGTTTGTTGTGTGCACAAAATCGTCAACAATTTTTCCTTCAAGCTTTGTTTACATAGGCAACGCATGTGGGAGCTTTTGGAATGTTGATAAGTAGTAATTAAAGAGCTTTCCAAATAAAGAGATTCTTGTCCCCTTTCAGCCGTTACTTTTGAATAGCCATAAGTGAATTGTAACGCTTTAAAACATGCTTGCTTCAAAAGGTGAAAGTTACCCTTACTTCTTTCCAGAACTGTATGAACTAGAATAACAGAGTTTATGTTCGCAGTGTTTAGGCACTCTGAAGTTGCAGCTTTAGAACTTCTTTATAAAAGATGTATTGAATCATATTTTGAACAACGATCTAACTAATCTTCTACGCTTCTTCCATCAGAACTTATCTACAAAACAAAGTACTTATTTAGGGAGCATAATTGTTCTTCGAGTGTTTGTTATCATCAAAACTCTTACAAGGGTTGTAGAATCAAACTATGTTCTAACAATCTCCCCCTCTTTGATGATGACAAAAACTTGGATATTTTTAAAGAACATAAAGAATTTAAAGTCTCCCCCTGATTTGAATACTCAGATAGAGAAGAAATACTTCACTGAAGATTATTCTGATGAGAGTTTTTGAGAAAAAGGATTTTTGATGCGTCCACTTCTGTCCTCAAGAGAGTTTGTTCCTATTTTGCTTTCAGAAAAAGAAACAGTAGAAGTTATGATATTCAAAATGTTTGAGACTGAGTCTCGATACTGTTATATTAGAAATATCTTACGTTCTCGCCCTTTTTTGTCAAGAATCAAAAAGCAATAAAAACACTTTAAGCAATAAAAGACGGTTTGTGTTCAAAAGGATTTCAATAAAACACATTATGAGGAAAACAAATAACAAGAACACAATGCAGAGAACAAATTTCAGAACTAAGTTTGAGGTGGTGAAAGTCGTGTGAACCGGTCTTCCAATAAACTCTTGATCTGAGTTTTTTATTACTCTTATTTTCTAAGCATCCCCTTGATTTCCTTGCACATATCATCCCGCTTGTCTAGCCTTTCCTTAAACACAACATTCTATTTCTTCAACTCCTCCAGAGTTTGCAGCACAAGAGATGAAGAGGGTATATCACTAGAAGGAATCACTTTTTCAGAGCAAGTTGCGGCTGATTCTGACTCAGGAGCTTTTTCAACTTCCTTGCCTTTGTCTTGAAACATAACCAGAGGAAGAAGATCAGAGAATGGTTCACCATATTCTGTTGGCTGATGATCTTCCCAAGGGACATTGTCCAGCAGAAGGAGTGGCTTCTTTTCCTAGTGACACAAACTTGATCCTTGAAGATATTCAGATGATCACATAAGTTCTGTTGAGCAATTTCATAACTTAGCTCCTTGAATTTCAGGGATTCAGAGATGAACCATTTTCTGAACTGGTTCCAGTGAGAATCAGAGGCAGCTGGATTAAGATTCTCTATGCAAGCTAGCTTCAGAGAGTTAACCCATTCTTGTATTTCTGTTTCAAAAATCAGCAAAGATTTACCAACACCTGCTTTAGAAATTTTTGGTTTTGGTTTTGGAATGGCAATTTTCTTAGAACTTGTGACGAGATTGTCCAAGGCTTCTAAGTTTATAACTGTTCGAAGGGGATCTTCTGGGTGGTTATTGGGAGAGGGAGAGTCATAAATAACAATGGGTGAATTTGGTGAGTTTGGTAGAGTGGATTGATAGGGAGATGGAATATCTGGGATGGAGAGGTTCTGTGAGAAAGTTGAGGGAATTGTGGGTGGTTGAGAGACCATGAGAGGGAAGGTGATTCCAGGAATGGATGTTGTGGTATCATAGTCAATGTTTGGATTTTTTGTGTGGGGAGCTTCAAACAGCGGATCAAATTGATCAATAGCAGAAAGAAATTGAGCAAGTTCAGGCTGATTTTGGTCAAGATGGGTATTGGGTGGATTGTTCAGAAGGTTATCTAGAGATAGTGAGGGGTCAAATTCAATGCCAAAGTCATCAAAAGTTTGTGGCGATGGATCTTCTGTGGGTTTTGGAGAAGAAGGATTTTCAGATGTTGATAACAGTACTGATTCAATAACAGAAATAAAAGATGGATTACCTTTATTTTTAGTAGCCTTGGGAATCTTATGAGAAGTTCCTTCTGCAATAACTTTCCTTTTCCTTGATTTTCTGGGAGCAATTTCCAGAGGTTGTTGTCTCAGATCACAAATGTTTACCTCTGGATGTGTCCCGTCCCTTTTGCAAGCATCCAGATACCTGAGAATAATATCTGGAGAAGCATCTATTTGAGTGAAGAGTGGAAAGTCTTTCAGAGGTACTCTTCTATTTGTAATGACACTAGTGCAGAAATGACTTTTTACATCGGGTGAAATTGACTTTTTACATCGGTTTTGGGTCCGATGTAAAGTCAGGCGATATAGTAAATCAGAGACTTTTTACATCGGTTCTAGGACCGATGTAAAAAGTCCCTTTTTTACATCGGGTATAATATCAGAACCGATGTAATAACCTGTTATTATGCACATTTTTTAAAAAATTGATCCAGTTTTTTACATCGGTTGGAAGTAATACCCGATGTAAAAAGTCCATTTTTTACATCAGTTATAATATATGAACCGATGTAAGAAACAATTATTATGCACATTTTTTTTAAAAATTGATCCAGTTTTTTACATCGGTTGGAAGTAATACCCGATGTAAAAAGTCCCCAGTGACGCGACTTTTTACATCGGTTATTATCCCCAACCGATGTAAAAAGTCCCTTTTTGAAAGTTTTCACATCAGTTTTGAGTAATAACCGATGTAAAATGTATGAAATTTTTTTGGAATAGATTATTTATTTTCTGGGTTTCCCTATACAAATATAATTTGTACCCATTTTTTCATATTTTTCCAATATCAAACAGACTATATTTATGTCGCTATATAGATTTCATAGCTTTCCAACATCACATATATCACATTTAGGTCGATGTTTTCATATTTTTCACAACAAACTTACAAATTGAACAATTGTATTGCAAACTTGTATTGTATTACAACAAACAAACTTACAATTACAAATTCTTCACAAAATATAAAACAATATTCAACTATTTATAAGTCTTTTTCAAAACTTACAATTACATAATATTCACAAAATATAAAACAATATTCAACTATTTATAAGTCTTTTTCAAAACTTACAATTACAAATTCTTCACAAAATATAAAAGAATATTCAACTATTTATAAGTCTTTTTCAAAACTTACAATTACATAATATTCACAAAATATACATATACAAAAATATTCAACTATTTCTAAGTTTCCAAACTTGAATTACCAATATAAAATCTTCGGTAGACAACACCAAAATCATATTGCCTGACAATAAATAATAACAATTAACATCAGCAAAAAAATTAAGAAACTCAACACATGAGCAAAAACCACATGTATTGTGCAAAAACCACAACTTATACAATTCTTTTGTCATAGGTTTCTAAATTTTCCACTTCTTTTATTTGGTGAGCATAAAAATAGGAGAAAGGGATTCAAATATAATAGTATAATAATAGTAACAAGAATGGAACAAAGTATAAAACACACGAGTAACAAAGTGTAATTTATAATAGTATAGTAATAGTAATGAGACTGTAACAACGAATGATAAGCAAAATTTGGCAAAACATTGGTTTTAAATCAAATATCGTTGAACAACTATTTGGTAACATAATTAGAATATTAATTATTTATAAAAATTTAGATACTCTCTTCCACTATTTCTCTCTTTTCAATCTCTTCTTACAATCTAACATACTTTAAATATAAACTCAAAGAGGAATAATGCTAATCACTCATTTTCAAACAAAAATTTGCACTTACAGTTGAAACGGCGAGCGAAGAGTCGTGAAGGGCGTGAATCGGCCGGCGAGGAGTCGTGAAACGGAGATTCCGAGATTCCGAGATTGCAAGTTGTCACTATAGTTTTTCCAAGTCTTCCTTTATATTTAGCTGTTGGACTCACAATGCAAATGGAAATTGAAATTGTTATAGCAACATGCAAAAGTAAGACAATTGCCATGGAGAGTCAGTAAGAAACAAGGCCAAACAATGCAAAGGCCAAACAATTTGACACAAAAACATGTATAGCTACGATATATTTGCGTTGTGAGTAAAACAAAATTGCATACATACAGTTGAATTTCTTTTTGGCTATAGTTCCATTGTTGAGAGAGTATAAAAAGTTCCTCACAGCTTCAGCATTGAACCGAGCACTATATTGCAAATAAAAACAAATCGCATTAAAACCCTTACTAACCCACGAAAAATCCAACAAAACAGATTAAGTGGACTTTTTCCACCTTCACAAATGACAAACTGAAATGCAACACATGGCAAGTAATAAATTAAAATAAAATAAAAACAATATAACAAGAAGAAGAGAAGCAGAATCAGTAAAACATTTATACGAGACCCCTTTTCCTTTTCTTCCAATTTTCTATTAATAATGATTTCCAAAAACTTCATAGCACAAACCTCTTCCTTCTTTCTCAATTGAGTATCCGTCAGGTATCAATTGATAACAATCAATGGATAACAAAAAGAATCACGCGAAATCAAAAGGGGAACCAGAAGTACTTACAGTGGCAGAGAAGATGTTGGTGCGCCTAAAGGTATGCGTAGCAAAGGGCGGTCGCGGCGCAGTGGCCTTTCGGTTTCGTTCCGGCATCTTTTCTTCTTCTCTTTTTTTCCAATACTTGTTAGTGTAAATTGTTGATTGTTGTAAGTTGATAATGGTGATAATACTTACAGTAAAAAAAGGTTGGAAAATTGATTTAAGGATTGAAAATTATACTTCGTGTATAGGTCAGATCACTAAATTATAGGATAAATGTTCATCTTCTAAGTGCTAATGTATGTGATATTCTTAGAATAAAAGATAAATACAAGGAATTATTTAAAATAAAAATAGTCCACCAGAATATAATGATTCACCTGAATAGTAAAACTATATGCAACAAAAAAGACTAAGAAAACAATAAGACAATAATTTGATCTACTTTAGAAGAAATTTTGGAGTGTGCATAAGATGCTAATTTTTTAACAATGTCCTCACTATCCTCCAACCACAAAACTCACATTATCACTACCAACCTTCAATATATCATCACTAGCTCAACCATTCAAAATTGACACAAATCAATAACAATATCCATCACTAATTTCTTCAATCATTCAATAACAACTTCTACAATTTATCAACAATAATGCCATTATCTTTATCATTCCAATTCCAACAATTTAGAACAACAACACCAATGTCATCATTATTAAGCAACCCACAACAAGAGCTACATCATCAACAAATAGAACCACAACAAATGGTAGTGAAGAATGCTTACCAAGCAATGAGGAAGGAGGAGTCACTTATGGTGTTGGCCGGTGGTAGCTGTGGGTTGTAGCTCCCGTAGGTGGTGGTGAAGTTACAGAGGGAGTACCCGTATCTGATGATGGCAGTAAGCGGCGGGAGTATCTCGGAAGCAGGTGGGAGTGTTTATTCGGTTCGATGAGTTCGGCGGAGGTACGTAGACGGAGGGTGAGTGTTGGTGGTTACGCGAAACAGAAGGCGTGTGGATGTTGCGGTCGGTTGAGAGAAGAGGAAGATGAGTGGTGGTGACCGGGAGAAATCCGAGCAGATGAAGGGAGTAGGCTGGAAGGATTAGCGCTCAAGAGATGAAGATGATAACTACTGTGCCTTCTTATTTGAATCGTAGATCTGAATACCTTTTCTATATGAATGGACTCGCTTTGTTTCTCACTTGTTACTGTAGCCTTACAATAACAATTTAATATATAATATCAACTTAGGTTAAGAAATTTATTTAATGTCTAAACCGATGTAATATCTTGTTTTTTTTTTACACGCATTTTTTATGATTTTTAAATATATTTTATATATTAATTCAAGCGACCATTTTTTACATCGGTTTTTAGTTAAACCGATGTAATAGCTTGCTTATATTTTTTTAACGTTTTTGTCACTTTGTTTCTTATTTACAAAAATGCCACTGTGTTTTTTTTCTGGAAATCTTTTACATCGGTAGATGAGATTGCCCGATGTAATAGGTGACGAAAAAAAAAATTTCCCTTATTTTTTATATCATTGCAAATAAATACCTGATGTAAAAAGTTTGTTAACTGTATTTTTTACATCACATATTTTGATACCCGATGTAAAATTTTTTTCTCAAATGTCTTTTTTTTAGTAGTGTGACTTCCTTGATTGTTATTATTGGATCCTTCTTGATGGTTTCAATAATCTTCATCTTCTTCTTATTCTTAGTGTTGAGAAGTTTACCAACACAAGCTTCTAGAGTACTGACTTATTGAGCCTTAGTCAGATGTTCTATTAGTTTGTTTTTTGTCAAAATATTTGAGATGAGTCTGCCCAGAGGAATCTAGTCTCTCTTTGTTCTTTCTTCTTCTCTTCTCTCTTTGACGCTGGTCTTCAGATGATTAAACAGAAGATGGGAAGATTAACCTTTACTTTGGTTGGTATGAAGTACAGAAGATACTGTTGATAAATATTGATATAATCTGGAGGGCTTGTGGGTTTTATGTGATTGATGCAGCCCAAGATGATTTTTGACCAAATTCCGAGGTAGTTTTTCAGATCTTTGATTTCATTGGATGGTTGTCCAGAAGTAAAAATCTCTTTTGAAATCTTTGTTAGGTCAGAGCTTTTGTCATCCATATCGCTGCAACGAATACCTCTATCGCCGTGACCTATCAATTTCCCAATGATATCTTCAGAGATTACTATTTTCTTTCCCATCACAAAAGAAGTGACCTAATGATTTGAAGTTGTAGCGTGAATCCATAATTCTTTAACAAGTCTTGGAAAAACTGGACCCAATAGACGATCAAAGTACTTGTTCCATCCTTGGAACTTAACATCAGGGGTTAAATTATATCCATTTTCCTTCATGCTGGTGAAGTCTACAATGAGCTCACACAGAACTTCCAGCGAATCAATGGGAGTAAGTAGAGTTCTTGAGGGTTCTTCATACCTTTCTACTGTTGAAAAAGAAGAGCCAAGAATGCTTTGAGCAATTTGTTGGGAGGAAGCCATTGTTCACACTGACTTTTTTTAGGGTTTTGAAAGATTGAACACAAGTAAGAGAGAAAAAGGAATTGAGAGTGGAAAAGTGATAGTGAAAGTGAGCAACGTATATGTAGAAAAATAGGAAACTTAATTAACAAGAAAAGGGTTAAAAATGATTACTTAGCATTAAAGATTCCTGAAAAGAGGGATGATGTAGAGATATGAAACAATTACTGATACGACTGTTAAGTGTCAATTTGTGCATAAAATACATACCAATTATTGACATTTTGAGACCTTTTATTTTACTTTATGTAGCGGTAGAAATGTTTAAGACTAAGCCATTGGATTGACTAGACTTATTCAGATCAAAATTAAAATCGCCACCGCACTTTATTGTTTCCAAAGGAATGGGAAAAGAGCGAATAACCCAAAAAGGGGGAAAGAATATAGGTAAGGGGGTTGGTTATGCAAAGGAAAGGTATTAGCACCCTAAACATCTACGGTACTCCGCAGGAACCTCTTTGTAAAATCTGTATATTTTGGCTATAAAATGTTGTATGTAAAATAGATGGTGGAGATGAGAGAAGAAATATATTTTTTATGATTTTTGCACCCGCCGCGGTTGCGAACCTTTAGTTCCTATATACCACCTTTCATGCAATAGGGGATCAGGGTACACGTAGTTTACCTTTTAAAGTTTTAAACACAAGTGTGTTGATTAATTTTATGAGATAAGACATCATCGTCATTGTCTGTGTGAAAAACATACTTACCACCCACAATCATGAGAAATGAGAATTTGCATCATCTAAAAGTGGAGGATATGGCTTAAATTTTAAAATCAACAATATCTCACTCAACACCCAAGTGGAAAATATCTCTCTTCATTACCTATTGTAGAATTATAGTTGTTTGCATCACTAAAAGGATTGACAAGAGTCCAATATTTTGAGAAAAGTTTTAAAGTTAAAAGGCAAAGTGGCAAAATGGTTTGAAATGAGATTAGTTGACCTTTAGTCTTCTCACAAAAAATGTCAAGGTATTATTAAGTTGATTGAATTTTATTTATGAAAAGGTTTTGAAAATGCATGGACCTAAGTCCAAGTTTATTATGAAAGTGGTTCAAGTTTTAAAAAAAACAAGAAGAGTTTTAAAAAGGAGAGAAAATATTTTTGAAATTAAAGAAGATGGGAGGAGAAGAAGAGACTATCCTAAAGCATAAGGTAAAAGCTAGGGATAAGAACCATCTAACCAACAAGAAACCAATACTTGACATTATGAGCCAAGACATAATTCCCATTCTTTGGATTGAAACCAAGCAAGCAAATATACTAGACCTCTTGTGCGAACCAAACTTCAAGTGTATTAAGTCTTCACAAAAATTGGGCAGAGTAACGACTGTATACGGGTGAATTCCATATTACAAACAAAGAATGTAATCACAATAACCTGCACACAAAAAAAACAAAACAACCTAATGTCTTGAGGTAAACCTCAAGAACTCCAGAAAAAATATTAATCAAGGTGATAAGGTCTCCAGCATAGGCCAAGGTTTCTAATCCTAAGTCCAAGAAGTCCAGTGCTCCATAATGCCAAGGATAGTAACCAAATAGGCCAAGTGTCATTAAAGATTTTTATGGTTCATGTTGATTATTAAGTGTCTTAGAAGAGAAAAGAAAAGCTCAAATAAGCAAAATAAAAATTACATGAAATGTAATGCTTTAAGTAAATGGTACATAAAGCATAAAAAATAAAAGGGCACAAAATAAAAACAATTTAATAATTAGTGGTTAGTTGGATGACCATCTTGAAAGTTGCATTTGGAACTCATTAGAGGATTGGTAGAACCAAATCCTCCACACAACAAGTTGCATTTTCTTTTTGTCAAGTATATCATCCATTTAGAATCCTCAAAAGTACCATTTAATGATCAACGATGTTTAAGTGATCCGCGTTGACCAAAAGTGTTATAGATCCATTAGAGGATTGGTAGAACCAAAGCCTCCACACAATGAATCTCAAGGTTATTGGATCAAAGAGATCCAGTTAACATACTTGGGCTTGCAAATATAGGTTTGAGCCACGAATGATCATTTATTCGAATCGGGAAAAAATTTAGCGTTATGTTAAGCAATCGTAAATGGACTTGTATAGAAGTCGCACCTATTTTGAAGCCGGTCAATAGCAATCTATGCACCATTTGTTTTGAGACATGATATAAAGATCATGCTCCAATAGCACTTAGTGCAATAAGAAAGGGATAAGATGGAGAAGGGTGGGGAAGAATATATAAACCACATTTGAGTTAAAATTTAATCAAACTATTATTAAAATCATTCATCCATTTTTGTGGAGTTAGACTTAACACCATGAATCCAATGATGTTAATAAAGTTCATGATTAAAAACTCAACCCAATATTATCCAGAAAATAATCACAATATAATATTGCACTTAATATATACATTAAAAAGGTTTTTTAAAATGTTTAAAATAGAAATAAAAGAGAAAAATATCAACTATGTTCAAATTAATCAAGAAATAAAAAGTAAGACTATAGAAAAATCAGAAATGAACTAAAATGAGTTTATAAAATTTTTGGTAATTTTTTAAAGTCAAAAACCATTTTTTGAAATTAAAAGAAATGAGTAAAATAAAACAAAAATGATAAAAAAATAGCAAATCAGAAATAAAAAATAAACGAAGTCACCAATATTTGTCACAATGTCATTGGATCATTCCATAATTTTTTCAGAATTAAAAAATACATAAAAGTATTTTTAAACATTTAAAACAAATCAAATAAAGTGAAAATTTATAAAAAAATATCAAAACAAAAAATAAAATTGTGAAAAAATAAAAATCAGAAAGAGAAAAATCAAAAATATTTTCCATAATTTTTTCACATTTTTTGGACTAAAAATTATTGTTCTATGATTTTTTGAAATTTAAAACAATTAAATTTAAAAATCAGAAAAGAAAAATAAAGTCAAAAATATGTGGACCATTGGATGAGAGTCAAAACTCATTAGTAATCAAATCCAAGGGATTTGGCGCGCTGTGCATATCAGGGTCATTAGTTAGTAAAGCACTGAATCAAATGTAAATAAGAAATTAAAAAAAAAATCCAAATGGAGTTATTTCATTGGTTGAAGGATGACACGTTGGTCATCTTCAATTTCCAGCCAGTCCCAAAACCAGGTTGCTCAATCTGTAAAATTAGAGCACGAGACCTATGCCATCCGCTTCGTCTCTTCAAGACGAAGACAACCACACATTTACGATAAATTTATATAAACTATAGCGCAAGCAATTTAGAAAGAAAGTTCTGAAAAGGGATTTGAAATTTCATGGTCAAAACAAGTTTTCAGATAAAAGTAAGTGTTGCGACTAGAACCAGGGCAATGAGAGCATCATAATGATATCAATGTTTTAAAGAATTGATGAAGAAATCTACCTATTGAAGTTGATTTGCAGAGCTCTGAAACTGGACTTCTAAGGAGAAATATAGGGCACGATTGTTGAAGGTAATTATATGGTTAGCTTCAGGGAAGATCAAGGAAGGTAAAT